AAGAGTATTATATCCCAGTACATATAATAATGGTGAATTAAAAAGCAATAAATAGACATAGAAAAACATGGTCCTATGTTAAGATAAGATGATATCTTTGCTCAAAGATATCAAAATTCCTTGTGTTGACATTTTTCATCCCTTCACATAATAAATTTATGAATCCCAAAATTCCATATTTACCCCTAAAGCCAATTAAACCTTAAAAACAAGAAAAGGGTAAGAAACTGTTTGGGTATTTTGGTAATTTAGTATCCGATAAATGAGATCTCCTCCTTGTCCCCATGTCATAATCATAAAGATATGGGAAAGTGATGTTTGATATTCTCAACTTCCCTTACTATTTTTTTATTTCTCTTCGAGGGCAATTTCGTACCATTCATATATTCCTTTTACTTCATTTTATTAACACATATTTTTCTATTTTTTATTTTTTATTATTTAAAAAATATTATTTTATTTTATATTGTTAAGTTCATCATTCTTATATATTTTTAAAACCAATTTTTGACATATAATAAATAATCAAATATTTTATTAAATTATTTGTTAAACTAAATATTATAATATTTTTTTTAAAAAAATTACTATTAATTACTTTGATATTTATTTCATTTTGTGAAGTTCTCTTGAAATTCTAGAAAGGTCGTTGGAAACTAGAAAGCGAGTACCAAATTGATGTCATTCATTCATCAAAGCGATAAAAAAATCAGAGTGGATGTTAGTTCATTCATCAATAATTTTAGAGTTAAGTCGAGATTAGACGAGTTGGGTATGAATACACGATTTACTTTTTGTACACGTTACTTAACTTGATTAAGATTGTTAATGTTGATGAAATCAAAAACGCAAGCATGATTTTCGTTTGAATTACGACTCTACGTTTTTAGCATCCTTATTAGTGACGGCACGTAAGTACCTAACTTGACGGGATTTACAGAAGTTCTAAAACCACAAAATAAACTAGTGAAACTAAGACAAATGACATGAACCAAAAAAAGATCTCGTTGGATTCGAACGACTGCCAAAATTTACGATATTGTTTTTTTGTTGAAATTTCGAAGTCTAAGTCACTAATCATACCATACAGTAGTTGCACAATGTATAGTTGTTTTTTTATCAGTCGTGACTTAGGGATTGTTTACCAAGTCATGTTACCTTATCGCATGAATATGACAATGATTAAGAATCTTACCAAGTAAGAGCGAAAACAATGACATAGAGTCTTACCCGGTAAGTGAGGACGACTACTGTCTACTTTTACTTTGGTTAGTGCTTACCGGGTAAATTGTCGCATACGATACTATCTGGTAGACTAAAATCTTATCCGGTAAGTAACTTATAATGTTGAATTTTTCCAGTAAACACATATCCGGATAAGCGTTTGATAAACGACCCCTTAAATTCATATATATTTTTTTAATAAGTTTTATGTTGTAAATTGTTATTCACTTTGAACCATAGTTTTAGTTCATATGATAGTTACTAACCGAACTTAATGCATTAAGCTTAGAGTGTTACAAAACGGAATCATAGTATAACGATAAACCTAGCTTTTTTTACTTAAAAAAGCACAAGTTATAACACCCAACTATTATTAACATCCAATTTAACTATTTTTTGGCAATTGTACTTTTCTCCTTTACACTTTTGGTCCAAAACTTTTGTCTATTAACAAAGTGGGTCCTTTATCATTGACATTGACTAAACATCGTTAAGTAAAACACATGCCAATCACATGATCATACTATAAAAGTATTTGAAGTATCATGTTTGATTGTTTGTACACGGTTAACGGGCAAAAGCATGATACATTCTTACTTTCATCTCTATTATACAAACAGTGACGGATCCAGGATTTTTGTCTAGTAGGATCATTTTTAAGGTAGACTAAAGGCTAGCTTCCGACGTGTTTTTTAACCTAATTACAACGTTTCGAAAGATTTTAAAGTTTTTTGGTTGATTTTAATGAATTTTTTAGTGTTTTTGTCGATTTCAAATGACTTTTTCGGTTTTTTTGATTGATTTCAGTAGATTTTTTTGGTTGATTTCAAAAGACTTTTTTGGAGTCAGCGATAGTCGGCTAGGGTTGTGGGGTCCCTTGTAAAAATTTACTAGGGTAAACTAAGGGAAAAGTAAAAAAAAAAAAAACTACTTTTAACCCTTGTAATTTGTTTTTTAACCGGGTCCCTTCCTCCCACTCCTTCCTAACTAAGCCCGCCACTGTATACACATGCATATGTGTAAAGAAAGAGACACACATGCATATGTGTAAAGAAAGAGACAGAGAGGGAAAGAGGGAGAGAGAAATGTGAGTTATTTGCATTCATATTTAAGGATTTCTTCATTTTGGTTCATCTTCTAACATAAACCAACAGAAAAGTCGACATTTGAACACTAAAAATCTGATATATAATTTTAAATTCTTGCTTCAATTGAGATAAGCAAACTTTGAATTTCCTTTTATGCCATTGAGGTCAAGGTCTGACCTCTCGTATGGACATACTCATAGCTTATGAATATGTGATAAAGCGTGTCATATAACTAATTATTTAAATCTACAGACACTAAGAAATTGATTAATTGTAAAATAAGTTTTCTTAACTTATTCACGTTTTCTTGAGGATAAGAGAATCTTATTTAATTTTATGAGAAAAGAGTTCATGCACAGTTTTTTTTTGGGAAAAGTTTAAAAATACCTAACAAACTTTCTAATTTTGAATGACTTAGTCTTTAAACTATTTATTTGGATGAAAAAACCATTAAACTTTCTTATTTTGAATGATTAAGTCGTGAACTATTTTTTTGAATGAAAGAACTTTCACATTTTGAATAATTAAGACTCTGAACTTTTTTCCAAAAAAATAAATAAACCATCAAACTTTTATTAGTCGATTAATATAGTTTTTTTTTGGGTTAAAAGGGTGTAGGTAACAAAATTTTAAGAGTGTGATTATTTATTTATTAAAAAGATATTCAGGGATCTAATCAATCAAACAGTAGAGAGAGCCATTTCTCACCGGTGAGGGCTAAACAGAGTTCATCAATGAGAAAATTTAATAATGGCTTTTTTTTCATTCAAAAAGATAAAATCTAATAATTTTTTCAATAAAAAAAAATTAGTTAAGAGACTTAATCATTCAAAATGAGAAAGTTTAATAGTTTTTTTCATGCAAAAAATAATAATTTATGGACTAAACCATTCAGAATGGAAAAAATTATTGGTTTTTTTTTAACTTTCCCATTTTTTTGGTATCGAGAAGACAACTTAAATCGACATAATCCATGAGGGTTTATGTGAAGTACTGCAGAACAAATGTTCTCCATTTCGAGAGGCCGACATCAGTGGAGCAATCTTCCTTGGATTCGATATATGGATCTCGCCATTAAGGCACCAGGACAGTAAACAACTACTTCGATTTGTTGTTGATATTATAAATTATTAATTTTCTGATTAGTTTATCATCAAAATTACTATTTTTTCATCGTCAATTTATAATAAATGTCATCACGTATTTACGAATTATGACCATTGTCATCAACAATTTGATCACCATTTCTATCACTTCGAAAAACATTTATACGAGCAACTGCCAATTTGCTCTATCATTTCTACTGATTTACACCTTAGATTCATTTTCTTTTTCATTTTTCTACAATACAAGTTCTTTTGGATTTTAAAATCAAGTTATTGATTTTTCTACAGTTTTTATTTGAATATGTGTAATTTATCGTGAAAAACCACCATTAAAAATATATTTTTATCTTAAAAACAGGTTATTTAGTTAAATGATTTCTTAAATAAAATTTCATTTAATAGTATGGATTTTTAAGAGCAAAATGCAATAGAGTTTCAATTCCTTATTTTCTACCCATTTTAACTATTAAGTGAAAATTTATTATAAGTAAGAAGTGTTTAATTTATGTAAAAACTTTTTATTACCGGTTTAACATCGGTATAAGTTGTTTATCCAAACAATCAAAAGTGTTTATTACCGGTATCACACTGGAATAAGTCAATAAAGTTACTTTTATAAGCAATTCCAAACACCCTCTAAAAATATTATTTAAATGATTTAACGAAAAGAATAAACCGTTTATAATTTTATTTTTATTTTAATTAAAATTAAAAAAGAAAAACAAGTAAGAAAAATTGCATTGTTGTGTGGGATAAAAAGAGGGAGAGGGGGGACAAGAGCGTATCTTGAAAAAATCCTGAAAATTCGATTCAGTTGCTTTAAAAAGTAAGGTAGCCAAACATATCCTTCTTTTATTATTAATCCTCCTTAATTTCCTATTCAACCTCCATTATTATTAACAACTCATCTGTTGATGCTGTTGCAGCCCAGCCCTGGTTCTCATTGCAGTCTATCCAACTTGCTTTGCTGGTCAAACCATCTTCTAATTTGGCTTAGATTTCATATGCTTTCTTTATTCAAGATTACACAGAAATGTGCTGTTCTTTGTCTCCTCTTTTCAACTAAACTTCACGCCTCTAGATTGTTTATTGTTTTAGGGTTTCTTTAATCCATTCTAACCCAAACTTCCGTTGGAATTTGGGCTTTCTGTGCATCTTTTTAGGGCTGCAAACACAACCATGCTTGTTCCCTTCCCTTGAGATGAACTTTGAAAAAAACATTTCTTTTGAATTACCCTTTTGGTGTTTCTCTTCTCTTCTCTCACACACACTTACTGTGTGAAACTCTGGGGAATTTCTTGTCTTTGATTATTATTCTTTAGTAGGTTTTCTGGGGTTGTGTGTTTTCTTGACTAAATTCACACCAAACAATGCTGCAATTATATGGTTTTAGAAAAAACTTTATATATTGCTGAAAAAGTCATCTGCCAAAAACTGGCTGTCCTTTGAAGAAAAAACCTTTTACAAATCCCTCATGCCTTTGTCACTAATTTACCACCAACCTTTTAGCTTGGATTAAGGACATGGAGTTGGAAAGAGAACAACATCAAGAACACAAGGTACAAGCTTGAGGGGGGGGAAAATGGGTTTGAAAATGCAAGGCCACCATCACCTGGTGGCAGTGAGTTTGAATGAACAGCAGCTGGGCAGAAAAAGGAAGTACACATCTTACATACCCAGAACAAATCAAGGCAAATACTTGGCATTGTGGATCATTGCTTTTGGGTTTGTGGCCGTACACGTTTACAGATGTATAGATGCAGGTCATCAAGAGAGAATTGAAGAGGGTTTAGTGAGTATGTGTGATCAAAGGGCGAGAATGTTACAAGATCAGTTCAGTGTTAGTGTTAATCATGTTCATGCTCTTGCTGTTTTGGTTTCTACTTTCCATTATTACAAGAACCCATCAGTAATTGATCAGGTTTGAAACTTTTTTCATCTTTATTTCCTTCAGCATTTCACCCTTTCTTCCCTTCTCTTGCACATATGTTTCATCTGGTTCAGTTATGGTTATCCAGAAATGTAATTTCTGGAGCTTGTGTTTGTGTTCTTGTGTCATTTTTTACTTTTTTCCCTGATTCAATTTGAGGGTAATCCACCAAACAATTTGGAACAATAATTACTATAAATCTTTTATGGTTATTTTTTTAAAGATTCTTTAGCTTCAGTTTTGTGTTCTGTGTTTTTCTTTATCAAATTGTGGGTGGAGCAAGAAACATCTCTGGGGAGAAAACAAGAATTTTTTTCCCAAAAGAGACACAAAACAAGAAATTATCACTCCCTTCCAGATAAAAAAAAAGCTCCAATGAGAAGACTTTTTATTCAATACTTAATTTACTTCACTGCAAAATCGATGTGCATTGTTACAGATCTAACACATATGCTTCCCTGTTTGTAATACTTGTTTTTGATGTTGAATTTGGTTTATCAATTATATCTTGCAAATTTTTTGAATTCATGTCATATTTGAAGTTGGAAAATTAGTTGGTTTGACCCTAAAAAGTCAAAGTGAAATGGGAAACATAATAGAAGCTTTGTACATGACCCTGCATCTCTTTTTCTAGAGAAATATCTTGGATTTGGTTCCATTATAATTTTTTGCTAATTCTGGTATTCGTGTTCTGATAGAATCGGACTATGGGTCTTGTTTCTGTTTCTTTATGTAAATTTTCATCGAAGGAGTTCGTATTTTGGTGATGCAGGAAACATTTGCAGAGTACACAGCAAGAACAGCATTTGAGAGACCTCTATTGAGCGGAGTGGCGTATGCACAAAGGGTAATGAATTCCGATAGGGAAGAATTCGAGAGTCAACATGGAGGGACTATAAGAACAATGGCAAAGGAGCCTTCGCCTCACCGCGATGAATATGCCCCTGTGATTTTTGCTCAAGAAACTGTTTCCTACCTCAATTTGTTAGATATGATGTCGGGCGAGGTGAAATTTGTTAACTTTATGGATAATATGTCATAAATCTAAACGGGTATTCGAGTATCCTCTAAAAAGAAAATCTTGAATTTGATCACAGGAAGACCGTGGGAATATCTTGAGGGCTCGGTCCACTGGGAAAGCAGTGCTCACAAGCCCGTTTAAGCTCTTGGGTTCTCATCATCTGGGGGTAGTTTTGACTATTCCTGTATACAAATCGAAACTTCCCCCAAATGCATCTGTTCGAGATCGAATTGAAGCTACAGCTGGGTACTAATTCCCTTTGTATTTATTGATTTCTAGTTTTATTGTTGATTAAACCGCAAGATTTGATGAGCGTCTCTTCATGGACACAGGTATCTTGGTGGAGCATTTGATGTCGAGTCCCTTGTTGAAAACCTTCTTGGTCAGCTTGCTGGAAACCAGGAGATAGTCGTGAAGGTTTATGATGTCACCAACACGTCCGATCCTCTAATTATGTACGGTCGCCAGACTCAAGATGGCGATCTGTCACGCACTCGTGTGAGCATGCTCGACTTCGGTGATCCATTTAGGAAACACCAGATGACTTGCAGGTGTGTGAATATAGACAAATTAGGCCATGTTTGGCAACCATAAGTTGATCTTATTGGAAAAGCCTTGTTTGGTTAGCCATACACTAGCTTTTAAGTAGCGTATCAATAAGCCTCCCGGGTCTTTTTTTTTTCTTCCAATTATGCCCCTAATTTTTTTACATGTCCATTTATGTGATTTTACAGCTTATTAGTTAATTCTTATCACACTTAAGACTAGGTTATCAGCTAGCTTTTCAGCTACCAGCTAGCTTTCCATCCAACAGCTAGCGTATCAGCTAGTTTGCCAAACATAGCCTTAGACTCCTCGTTGCAGCTAGAATCAATAACAATGAATAACTAGACTTGATGGAAAGGGCAACAGGCTGCAGATGCTAACCGTATGCAATTGAATGCAGGTATCTTCATAAGGCACCTATCTCGTGGACAGCCATCACCACTGCAACTTTAGGCTACGTGATTGTCTTGTTAGCTGGCTACATGTTCTATACTGGAGCCATCCATATCGTTCAAGTTGAGGATGACTTTGATACAATGCAGCAATTGAAAGTCCGAGCAGAAGCTGCTGATGTCGCCAAATCCCAGGTTTGTTTAACTTAAATGCTGTTTAGAGATCTAAGAAGATCCATAAGTAACGTGGTTATAATTAATCTTTATGCGTTTTGGTTGCCAGTTTCTTGCCACCGTCTCACATGAAATCCGAACCCCCATGAATGGCATCCTCGGTATGATCTACTGTTGTTCTCATCCTTTCGATTTCAATCTTTTTGCCAGTTTGTTTATTGAATTTGGCGTATCTAAATAAATGGGATTGCAGGGATGCTTGCACTACTCCTGGATACGGATTTAAGTTCAACACAACGGGATTACGCTCAAACAGCTCAAGCGTGTGGAAGGGCGTTGATTACTTTGATAAATGAAGTGCTTGATAGGGCCAAGATTGAAGCTGGGAAGTTGGAACTAGAGGCAGTCCCGTTTGATCTTCGATCCATTTTAGATGATGTCCTTTCATTATTCTCCGAGAAGTCTCGGCATAAAGGAATTGAGGTAAAGTCTGGCACTACCCCTTTCTCGTTTCTCGTTTGTTTCTCAAATTTTATGATTTCATGCTTCTCCGATCTTATCTTCCTTGAAAAACCATGGGAAATCAAAGTTGGCTGTTCTTGTATCGGACAAAGTTCCGCAAATTGTCATGGGGGATCCGGGAAGATTCAGACAAGTGATTACAAATCTTGTGGGAAACTCTGTTAAAGTAAGCAAATTTCGTGATCCTTCACTACAACAAAATCGGTTTTATATGACGTCATATTATGTCTAAGTGTCTTAATTGACTGCTTAACAGAACTTAAGTTTATAGGATCATATAATTGTGTGTCAGATGTGTTACAATAAGTTGATAGGACAAAAACTTGTTAGGATGTCCACATAGGTCCTAATTCCTATTATAACACCTTTATACAGGACACATGATTGTTTTGGTGATATAAACTTAAATCCTTAGATATTTTTTTGGCATCCTATAAAGCCGATTCTTTGATGTGTTCAACTCAAATGATATCGACATCACTCTAAGAGCCTTACAAGATGCAAAAATCTGACAGTTTACGGAACAAGGACATATATTTGTTCAAGTTCATCTTGCGGAACACTCTAAAGCTGTTGTTGATGCAAAATCTGAGACTTGTATGAATGGAAGATCCGAAGGCTTTTCCCAGTTCAAAACGTTAAGCGGTCGTGAAGTTGCAGATGACCGAAATAGTTGGGACAAGTTCAAGCATCTAATAGCGGATGAAGAGTTCCCATTTCAAGTGATAACGTCTGATGGAACTTCTCAGAGTGTTAATCTAATGGTGTCGGTTGAGGACACAGGAATAGGGATCCCGATACATGCTCAGGAGCTCGTTTTCATGCCATTCATGCAGGCGGACAGTTCAACCTCGAGACATTATGGAGGAACGGGAATCGGGCTGAGCATCAGCAAGTGTCTGGTGGAGCTGATGGGCGGTCAGATAAGCTTCGTTAGTCGGCCTCAAATTGGTAGCACGTTTTCTTTCACGGCTGCCTTTAAACGGTGCGAGAAAAACGCGGTTAGTGATCCAAAGAGATGTCTTTATGACGATCTACCGACTTCGTTTAAAGGTTTGAAAGCGACCGTGGTTGATGCGAAACCTGTTAGAGCTGCTGTAACGAGATACCATCTGACACGATTAGGTGTGCTCGTGGAGGTCGTTCATAGCATACGGATGGCGGTTTCCCTTTCCGGCCAAAATGGTTCTGTGAGATCAAAGTTAGTACTTCTTTACCTTCAATTCGTATGTTTGTTTCCGATATCATGGTTTTCACATGCTGGATTTTGGCTTTTTGCAGAAACGAATGGCAACCGGATATGATTCTAGTCGAGAAAGACGTGTGGTTATCGGGTGAGGATGTGAGCAACGTACATCTTTTTGACTGTAGACATAATGGGCATGTGATAAAATCGCCTAAAATGATCCTTCTTGCTACAAACATAACTGGTGCCGAATTCAACAAGGCAAAAGCAGCCGGGTTTTCCGACACGTTGATCATGAAACCGCTGAGAGCGAGTATGGTGGCGGCATGCCTTCAACAGGTTCTGGGAACGGTAAAGAAGGTGGAACAAGGTAAGGTTATGGCGAATGGATCGTTTTATCTTCGGAGTTTGCTCTGCGGGAAGAAAATATTGGTTGTTGACGATAATAGAGTGAACCGTAGAGTTGCAGAGGGTGCTCTTAAGAAATTCGGTGCCGATGTAGAGTGTGCCGATAGCGGAAAAGCGGCCCTCGAATTGCTTCAATTGCCACACAGTTTCGATGCCTGCTTCATGGACATTCAAATGCCGGAAATGGACGGGTATGTTTTCTTTGAATGGTAATCAAGTTATGGCAATCGCCTTATTCGTTACTAAGATTGTGTGACTAAATTTCAGTTTTGAGGCCACGCGTCGTATACGTGTGATGGAGAGCCAGGCGAACGAGCAACATACAGGTGGCTCGATGGAAGGGTCGTGCGACGGTTCAACCACCGAGTGGCATTTGCCAATACTAGCCATGACCGCCGATGTGATCCATGCAACATTTGAAGAATGCCAAAAGAGCGGAATGGATGGGTACGTATCAAAGCCGTTTCAAGAAGAAAATCTTTATCAAGCCGTCGCCAAGTTCTTCGAGTCCAAACCGACCACCGAGTTGTAGTTTGATCTTAAAAGCCCCAGCAAATTTTGCATATCGCTTCTGCTGGTGTGCATCTTATATGTACATTCAACGGTACCGGGGTTTTCCATTCCCGAGATCCGGTGCACCGGCAGTATAGTTTTGGACCACCGGTTGTGTAACCCTAACCAAGTTTGGATCTAACTCGACGACACGCATACCACTCCATGGATCGAACCCTTACGCGTTTGTATAGATGGTTTAGGAAAGGGCTCGAGTTGTATCGTCATTTGTAACGATATCGGGGAGCTGTTGGAAACACATATTTGATGTTGTATAATTGTGTTTTGGCAATAGAAGGAGGCTGGCTGTTTCCATTAAGCTGTGAAGATTGTACAAGTGTTTATGCATAATGTACAACATAATAAGGTTGTACTTGAAGTGGGCAGGGTCGGACCACTTCATTCCTGCATAAAGCAGAGAGTGGACAGTGGTTCAACTTTGACCATTTCTGGTTTTTCCATTTCTACTTCTTTTCTTTTGTACTTGCAAATCTTTCTTGCAGAAAAAATGTCTTATTTTACAAACACTTTTTGCAGAAAATGTGTTATTTTTATCATTTGTTTGGAGTTTTTGTTGTACATATATTAAAAATAATGTATTTTAATTTCATTCTTATTTTGGGTGACGTACTTTCAGAACTTTTATTTTTGGTGCATAAGATGTAAAATTTTAAACATTTAAGTACTCGGGTAACTGATGTTAGATTAAAAAAAATTCATGTTAACTACGTCAGCAAATAATACTGAGTTGAATACCACATCACTTGCTACAATAGCATGATAACTGATTAATGTTTCAATATATTACCCGCTTACTTAAATGTTTAAAATTTTACATCTTAGATAACAAAATGGAAGTTTTTAAAGTGTGTTATCTAAAATAGGAATCAAGTTAAAATATATTACTTTTTTATGCAATTTGTCCTAAATTATAACTAGAGTAAACTAGAAATTTGGTGTCTGTGGTTTGTCAAAAATAACATTTTTCGTTTCTATAGTTTCAAAATTACAAGATCGTCATTGTAGTTTGAAAAAAACGTATGGATTTGATCTCTCCTAACGATCGTTAAAATCTGTTAAATGAAGGCTATTTTTTGTCTTTTAATCCATTAAAGACCATATACATCAAATTCCTAAAATCGATTTTAATTAGTGATGACCAAATCGGATCGGGACCGCCGGAGGACTGGGACCGAAATCAGGGACCGGTTATAGATTTGGGGTGTTTCGCGGGACCAAAACCGGTTATGGACTGGTTATGGACCAACCTGGCCCGGCCCCATTTTAAAAAAATGTAACTTTTTTTAAATGTAGCCGTTTTTTGGCCCTTTTTTTGTATTTTTTGCTTTTTAAACATTATATATAAGTGTCTTGGTTGAGAGATTTACATATCAAGTTCTTGATTTGTAAAAACGCACAAAAAAGTTCACAATTATCGGTTTCTCGCTATATTTTGTAAAACAATGTAATTTTAATTACAATAAAACGCAATTTTAAAATGTATTTGAATGACCAAATTAGAAATTTTATAATGTATTAAAAATATATATGGCTTGAAAAATAAAAATAAAAAAATATTTTTTAATGAGCGGGACCGGCGGCCCATAACCGGTTACAATAAAGTTTGACCGGGCACAACTTTTCGAGCGGGGCCGGGTATGGCCGGTTATGAGAAATCTTGGGCCCGGCTTGGCCCGAAACCGGTTTTTGGCCATCACTAATTTTAATTGGGTAAAAGAGAAAAAAACAATAAAAGAATGAAAATACCTCTCACGTAACGGAATCTTTTAACGATCATTAGAGAAAGTGCCCGTTCCAGATATTTTTGCAAACAATGATGACCATCTATATTTTTTGAAACTGTAGGGACGAAAGGTCTTACTTTTGACAAACCACAGGGACCGAATCTATAGTTTACTCTTAAAACTATATAAATAATTTAAAATTACAAAGTAACATATGTCATAAGAGTAAAAACACAAAAGTATTATAATTGGGCTAACGGTTACAACGTATTTGATTGGTTAAAGGGTATAATCGGGTCACAAGAACTTCTCGGTCCCTCTTTCTATGCCATATTGGGTACCACAATACGATCTTTAATTCATCTTTTAATACCTTGATCAAAAATCGTAGATACATTAATAATGAAACGTAAATTGAAGTTAACTGTCTGCAACTGTCATCGACCTCCCTCTCTCTCAGCTTGTATTCATATACTCGCTTTAGTATCGATATGTGTAATTCTATATGGACAACTTGTTTTATGTTGATGAAAAATAAGACTAATAAGCATATTTAAGGCAACCTTCACAATGTTTTTGTTGTGAATGTTCAGATTTTTTTTAACTTTACAACATTTTTGTCGTGAAGTTTTAAGTGTAAAAAAGTAGTCCAACATGTCTCACGAAAACAGATTGGTCCCACGTGAACTCAACCCCACATATACATCTATCTATATAAACTATACTTTTGTTTTTAAATCTAAAGTATTTGGATTGCAAAAAAGTTTTGAAAATAGCCCAAGTATGTCGGGAAAAAAAGAATTTTATAGTTTAACAGAGTTATTGAGTTGTTCGTCACTGGGGCAGGCCACAACTTCGTTTATCCGTCGTAATGTAAAAACGTTTTAATAAGAAATATCATGTCAGCAATATGTTACATGTGAACAACGATATGACATTGAAATATGGTAGTTTGTGTCATGTCATCTTAATTCTGATCAAAATGTTTCTCATTGCCATGATGAATAAATTTTTCAAAGTACAACGTCATAATAAAAATAATTTAAAAGTATATTGTTGTATTTAAAAAAAATGAAAAACAATGTTGTAATAAGAAAATTTGTGAAAGTAGTATGTTATTTCGCACATCTAGCCTATATATATATATGGGAAGGGTTCAAACAAGAATACTTTCATTTTACGAGAACGCAAGAACACTTTTTTACTATAGATAATTACATGTGATACTATTATTCCATCACATATGATACACATGTAATACTAAATCAGAGACGCGGGCAATCTTCGATGCAATTTTGGTTGTGGGTCAAGTCGCCCTTACACCATTAAGCCTTTTCAAAAGTATTATCACATATGATAAGGTTGTTATCAATATGATACTATAATTCATCAAGACCATCACATGTGATGCTAAATCGTAGACGCAGACAATCTTTGGTGCGGCTTAAGTCGTAGAACACATCGTCCGCACATCACATAGTCCCCTCACGCGTATTATCACATATGATAAAAATGTTCTTGTGCTCTCGTAAAATGGAGGTGTTCTCGTTTAAACCTCCACCATATATATATATATATACTATATTATAAAGCATTTGACAAAAACTCTTAAAAACCACTTTTTATGCATAAAGTTTATTAATGCATATTACTTACAACTCAAGATTACAAGTAGATTGTGCGTAAGTACAACTTATTTAAGCTCCATATCTGAATTCGTGTAACTAACTGCAGATAAACATGATCAAATACAGGATAAACACTCATTTTAAATATAAAAAATCTAAAATATAATTAGAATAATCATTGAGTTCTAACAAAATACTTAATTATTATATTTATAAAATATTATATTATTAAAACAAAAATAAATTATTTCGTTATTAAACTTAAATTGAATTATAATAAAAAWAWAWWWWAAGAAATTACATAAAAAATGAGAACTTTTAAATAGTTGATTTGATATTAACATTGATATATATTTTTAAAATTTTTATGATATCTTCAAATTTATATTTTATTCAAAAATAAAATAATTATTGGTTTCTTAAAAACACATAAAATCCTATCATAACATCGACATAGACAAATAATAAAATAGAACATGAAAATCGAGATGTGTCTCGTTGCATTGCGCGAGTACTCTTTTAGTATATATATATATATATATATGTATATATATGTATATATATATATATACACACACACATATAAAGGGGTCTTCTTTAAGAACTTGACAATTTGTTAGAAATATGAGATCCATTTTAAATCATTAAATGATATTAAATTAACAAATTATTAATTTTGGTAATCTTGAATTGAAAAATCAAATAAAGAGCATTATGGGTATTTATAAATCTTCTACCCCCCTCCCCTCTTCTCTCTCACCTATCCTTCTTCGTCCGTAACATCTTCAAACACCTCTAGCCCAATTTTTGTGAACACATAGGTGCATATATAGTGTGAACCAATTTCTGTAGTGGCCCATGGTTATAAAAACTGTGAACACGATGTGCACACCATCTAGTTCACGAGATATGGAATCAGTTGTGGTGTTCACATTTTATGATCACATTGTTCACGCTTTAGGAACAAAATAATTATGAACACATGTTGTACTATGTTGAATGTGATGAAAAGAGCGAACAAAAATATCCCTAATTAGCCCAACAATCAACGTCAATAAACCTAACCAAAAATCAAAATGAGAACCCTAACTTAAAATCAAAATCAAAATCAAAAACTCTAACAAAAACCAAAACCATAATCAACATTAAACCTTACACATATGAATGACAAATGATTCAACCAATGAAAAACAAAAAACCCTATAAAGGGGAGAAGAAGAAGTCTCCTGTGGTCGTGGTTTCGACATGGAGACCAGAGAAAATGAACGTGAGAGGTGTGGTCACTGAATAAGGGAGATGATGTCGATTAGTTCTAAGAGCGTGACTACATGGAGAGACAATGGCAGATACAATAAATCAACATAAATTTAAGTATATTTTTACTTCCAAAACACATGTTAATGATTGCGAGTTAATAAATGATTTTTTACTTAAAAAGAGCAAAATTCTAAACATAGATAGTTTTGAACTTTTTCTTTTTATAATTTTATGGAATTTACGGGTCATGTGATTTTTATTAAGTTGTGTATAGATAAAGTTGTTTAAATAAATTAAACTGTACGTATAAATTGAGAAGATTTTTGTTTGAAAAGGTTTTTTGATAAATAAAAAGAACATGATTTTTAGGAAAATTTTGACTGAAAATTTATTTTTTTGTATAAAGTCTCCCTTAAAAATTTACTGAATAAGTTATTTTGTATCTCATTAAAATGAAATGGTTATTTATCTATACTATATTATAAAGCATTTTGGTTAAACTCTTAAATACCATTTTTAATGCATCAAATACTGTGTAATTATACATATTACTTAACATTCAATATTACAATTAAGTGGTGCATAGGTACAATTTTTTAAAGCTATTTGTTGAATTCATATAATTAACTAATAAACATAATCACATACATGATAAATATCTCATTTTAAATATATATAATATATAATTAGAATAATCATTGAGTTCTAACAAAATATTTAATTATTATCTTTATAAAACATTATATTATTAAAACTAAAATAATTATTTCGTTATTAAATCTAAATTAATTTATAATACAAAATAACTGAAAAAACATATGAAAATAGAGAGCCTTTGAAACTATCAATATATTTTTTTAATTTTTTTTCGAGGTCTCCAAATTCATATTTTATTCAAATATAAAATATTATCATTTTTTCAAAAATATATTATAAAATCGATAAAGACAAATAATAAAACGAATTATATAAAATCAAGATTCATTAAATGATTACCCTTTTAGGTGTGTTTGGGATTGTTTATTGGGCAAATTGCATGAAAAAATAACGTACTTTAACTTAATTCCTATTTTGGTTAACGTACTTTCACAACTTTCATTTTGGTACCTAAGATGTAAAGKTTTAAACATTTAAGTACCCGGGTAACTGGTTGAAGTATTAACCGATTATCATGTTGATGTGGCGAGTGATGTGGTATCCAACTCGGTATTATTTGCTGACCTGGTAAGTGACGTGGATTTTGTTAAATCTAAAAATTGTCTTTTTTAGTCTAAAATTAGTCTTCACTGGGTTACCCGGGTACTTAAATGTTTAAAACTTTACATTTTAGGTACCAAAATGAAAGTTTTGAAAGTACGTTACCCAAAATATGAATTAAGTTAAAGTACGTTACATTTTCATGCAATTTGCCCTTGTTTATTTTAGGTGTTTTTTTTAACTTATTTTAGTATGTCATTGGTGATAAGCTAAATGCTAGTGTTTGGATGAGAAAAAATAAAACTGCTTATACCGGTGCCAAACTGATAATAAACAGTTTTTGATAAATTAATCCTTCCTGACTTATGAAAAACTGTTTATTATCAGTTTACCATTTTAACCATGGTTTATTAATGTTTGTTAATTATTAATGTTATTGATATAAATTATTAATCTTATTGATATAAATTTTTGTCAAAGAAATTATTATAAATGATGAGAAATAAATTTTTACATGTTAAAAAATCAAATAAGTCAATAATATGGAAGACTGTCCTTTTTGGTTATTTTACATATATAAGCAAAATTTGTCAAACATTAAAAAACAACTTATCAACTTATTGTTTTTTGGTACCATTATAAGCTAATCCAAACACTTTTTACAAAACTCTGGTTTGATACCACATAAGTTAATAAACATTTTTACAAAAAAAAAAACATAAGTTGTTTTAAGTAAGCAATCCCAAACACCCTCTTAATAATTAAGTAAATGAGCATGGAATGTTATTAGAAACTAGAAGAGTACTCGTGCAATGCAGTGAGACACATCTTGATTTTAATGTTATATTTTATAATTTGTTCCCAACTTTATAAATGTGTGTGCATATGTATCCTCAATCTGGTAAAAAATTATGTAGATATGAAGTTTTAATAAGTTGTACTTACGTACAATCTATTTGCAATTTTGAGTTTTAAGTAATATGTATTAATAAACAGTACTTTACGAATAAAAAGTGGTTTTTGAGAGTTTTTGTCAAATGTTTTATAATATAGTATAGATTATGTGTTTTTAAGAAAACAATAATAATTTTATTTTTAAAATAAATATAAATTTGAAGATATCATAAAAATTTGAAAAAATATATATATCAATGTTATATGAAATCAACTATTTAAAAATTTTCATTTTTTATGTAATTTCTTTAATTTATTTTTTATTATAATTTAATTTAAGTTTAATAATGAAATGATTTATTTTTGGTTTAATAATATAATATTTTATAAAGATAATAATTAAGTGTTCTGTTAGAACTTAATGATTATCTTAATTATATATTAGTTTTTTTATATTTAAAATGAGATGTTTATCATGTATTTTATTATTTTTATCTGCAGTTAGTTATACGAATTCAAATATGAAGCTTTAATAAGTTGTATTTACATACAATCTACTTGTAATCTTGAGTTTTAAGTAATATGTATTAATAAACAATACTTTACGTATAAAAAATGATTTTTTTTTTATCAAATACTTTATAATATAGTATAAATAGATACTTAATCTGAAAAAAGAATTGAATCAAAGTAATGCGCGTTACATGCGCGTGCGAAAGGAGGGGGGGGGGTTTGAGAAACTAAAATCACGCGCAAAATGCGGAAACAACGTAAATGCAGGTAATCAGGTCTACACCTGGACCTGGTCACACGCCATCCTTATTCCTTACCCCCTCTTTTGGTGTCAGGAATCAATTTTATATTTTCTTACATTTAATATTTTCTTCAAAAAAATAAAACAAAAACATTTAATATGACATTGTCGTGGTTATGTTATATGTATTTTCCTACATTAAAATATTTATTAAAAATATAAAAAATAAGTATTAACGTTGATGTTTATAAATAATAAATCAGGCTTTTTATTTTTATTTTTTTATGTTACTTTATTTCCTGAATCACAAATTAAATCAGACTAAAATTTATTTTGTTAATTTTTACTTAAAAAATTGTAATTAAATCATTGGATATATTTTAACATATTTATTACAAGATGATTATAATGGTGTAATTTGTAWAAAMAATTAGCMAAAAATATTCAATATTATGCTTAATTCGAAGGTATTGACGAGACGATTATAATGGTGTAATTTGTAAAAAAAGAAACATCTTGTATTTTAGTTAATATATAATTATATGTGTTAATATAATAAAAGTATAAAATAAAAAAAATAAAAAAAGTAAAGGATATAAACTGAAATAAATAACTAAGTATAAAGATGTAATGTGTAAAGAAGTTTACACACAGAAAATGAAATTATGCGTAAAACAATTTATACTTTTTTTGGCCAAAATCTAACCTTTTGTAGAAAAAAAAATTGCGTAAGGTTTCTCCGTAAACTTTGTCTATTTGGGAAAACCATTTCTTGAATCTGCTATAAATTGAAAACCAGTTGGTTGATTGGTTGTTTCCGTCAATTTCTTTCATTTTTAATATAATAACTGCTTTCCAATCATTTATATACAGTCGTATAACCATTTTGTTTGTTTTTGTAGGTGCATATATTTATTTGTGTAAAAGAATGTTTAAAATATGAAATTCCATTTGTTTGTTTATTTTTGTAAATGTAATTTGCATATTTTTGCCATTTTACTTCTACATGCCTTCGATATTCCTAAAAAAAATAAATATTTATCTAATGTTTTAATGTTCCCTTAATTATTCTAAAACAACTGTGACTTAAAACAGAATGATGAATTTAGTGTTCATGCATTCGCATAATTCACATATGTTTTTGCTTGAACTTTTCCATATCTATCTAATCTATTATCTATACTATATTATAAAGCAATTGAGTTAAACTCTTAAAAACCATTTTTATTGCATCAAATACTGTTTAATGATGAATATTACTTGAAATTCAAGCTTACAAACACAACTTTTTAAAACTATATGTCTGAATTCATATAGGTAACTGATAAACATAATCAAATACATGATAAACATATCATTTTAAATATAAAAAATATAATCAAGATAATCATTGAGTTATAACTCAATACTTCAAAAAAAATTATATTATTAAAGCTAAAACAAAATACTTCGTTAATAAAAATAAACTAGAAGGATACTCGCGCAATGTAGCGAAATACACCTCGAGTTTAATGTTTTATTTTATTCTTTTTTTCTGTCGATGTTATAATACGATTTTATGTGTTTTTTTAATAAAGCAATGATGATTTTATTTTTAAGTAAAATATAATTTTTTTTTAAAAATATGAATGGGAAATTTAAATAAAAAAGAATTAAAAGGTGTAAGTATTATAAAATTGAGTAGGAAATAGGAAATAGGAAATAGGAATTAAGGAGGATAAAGAAATGATGACGTATGGCCACCGACCGTCCCTTTGAAAGACTCTGCGGGTTGACCGCCCCCGTGCCTTCAACCTTCAACTGGTTCCAATCTACCCTTTCAAACTTCATCTATTCCGGATGGTCAACATTCAACTTTCCCTTCTCTCTATTTCTAGATTTCTTTATTACTACTTCTTCAATCCAGTTTCTATGATTGAAATTCAAACTTTGAAATCCGCGTTCCTTTGCATGTCTCTACCTAACCTCTATATATATACTCCTTTTCTTCGTTAATCCTTCAAAACCCAATTCAAATTCACCAAAAATCATCATCTACGTTCACTTTTTCAAGTTTCTTTCATTCTTTTTTACATAACTAACAACACCCAGCAATGATTTCTGCATATCGGACCAGAAGAGCAGCACGAAATGCTGACAAAATCAAGAAAAGCTCCAGATCGGTGGATTTGGAGGTAGAAGTGGCCGTACCGGAGCATTTCCGGTGCCCGATATCGCTGGAGTTGATGAAAGATCCGGTCACGTTGTCGACGGGAATAACCTATGATAGGGAGAGCATCGAGAAGTGGATATATGAAGACGGAAAACACATGTGTCCCGTCACCGGCATGGCCTTGACCAGCCTTGAGACTGTGGCGAACCATATGATCAGAAAGATGATCCAAAATTGGTGTGTCCAGAATAAGTCATACGGGATTGATCGCATTCCAACCCCTCGGGCTCCGGCGAGCTCGTATCAAGTTTCCGAGATTCTATCGAAGATTGTGGCGATGAGAGGGAAGGGAGATGCAGAAGGTGTTATGGAGTTAGTGGTGAAGATCAAAGATTTAGCAAAGGAAAGTGAAAGGAACAAGAGGTGCATTGTGTCAAACGGGTCAAGTCGGGTGTTATCCGAAACCTTTGAGGTGTTCTCTTGCCGTGAAAACCTCCCAGTTTTGGAAGAAATCTTGTCGGGTTTAACCCTAATGCTACCACTTGATCAAGAAACCATATCTTATATCGGGTCGAATCGATCTTTACGTAGCATTGTATCGATCTTGAAGCATGGAGGTTTATCGGGTCGAAGGAATGCAGTTTTGGCACTTAAAGATGTGTTCTCATCCGATCAAAATACGCTACACAAATTCGTGGAGATTGAAGGAAGCATCGAAGTGTTAGCAAAGCTCATCAAGGAACCAATTTGCCCTACCACCACAAACGCTTCATTGTTAGCCATTTACCATTTGATCACTCCCACATCTTCTCTAGACCAAAAGAAAACCCTAATATCAAGATTTCTTGAAATGGGCCTAACCGAAAAGCTCATAGAAATGCTTGTAGACTGCACACGAAGCGTTTGCGAAAAGGCTCTTGGTGTCCTCGAAGGTCTCTGCAGCATCGACGAAGGGCTCGAAAAGGCTTACGGCAATGCACTAACGGTGCCGGTGCTGGTGAAGAAGCTTCTGCGCGTTTCCGATACGGCCACAGAGTTTTCTGTTTCGATTCTTTGGAATCTGAGCAAGTATGAGAAGAGAATGGCGTATGAAGAAGATATGGCCATGGAAGCACTCCAAATAGGTGGTTTTCAGAAGCTTTTGTTGCTGTTGCAGGTTGGTTCTTCTTTGAAAACGAAGGAGAAGGCTGGTGACTTATTGAAAGGATGGAATTCGCTTAGAGGAAGAGTGGAGTGCATTGAAACTATGGATTTCAAGTACCTCAAAAGGCCATTTTGAATAAGCATAGATTTACAGAATTAATTTTTTATTTGTAAATTTAACATAAATAATATATTCATAGGAAAACAATTCGTTACAAATCTATACTATATTATAAAGAATTTGATAAAATATTATTAAATGTAGGGATGAACAAATATTTATGTTTAAAAGTACTTAAATGCGTTGTTTTATGAAATAATATGAATAAAAAAATTTATGTGTTATAATTTCCCGTCGATTAATCAGGTGTGTTTATATAATTGATAGAATAGAGACGAGACTTGAAGTTTTAAGAAATGGGTCGCGTGACCTCTCGGTACATGTCACGTGAAGCTCATGCGAGTTTGAAGCTAGAACGCAGCCAACCTAGACTATGCGACGTGGGAACGTATACCCAAATTGCATAGACTATCTACGTTCTTTTTAAAGCAGGTTCCGTTCTTATTTGATGTGGTTCTCTCAATAATTTATAGATAATTTTGTCACGAATAGATACGAATCAGAGTCACGTTATATCTCATCCGCTCATGGTTTTCTTCCGATTCAAGTATCCACATAAATCTAGTGTTATATTCTATCGCTTTTACTTTACTTGTAGCAAACTACTTCCTTTATTGTTTGCTTTATAGTTTACGATGGAAATTCGGTTTATGTTTTCGTTTTATGAACGTTAAACTATTAAATTACTTGGTTTATTGACTTTTCTGCATCGTTTGACTTCGATTATTTGAAGTTAAGCTGATATTTGTATAGTCGTTAAAATATTTAAATATTAGAAAGATTTGGTTAAAGTGATTCACACAAGAAGTCATATTCACATTCTATCATCGCTTTTGTCAAGTTCATGTAAAAGCATTTTGTCCAATATTCACATTATATAATTATATTATATGTGTTTTTTAATGTTAATTCAAATCATTTTTTTCTAAAGATTTGACAACTTAAGGAGTAATAAACAACATGGGTAGGACCCAATGTCACAAACTTGAATAAAAAATTGATTATTGGAACCAAATAACATAGATCTAAATATATTTTGTAAAACATTTGTTATGAGTGATTTATCAAATACTTGCTCGGTAAAATTTAACGCTATCATTTACTTATCGGGTAAGATTTTAGTCCACCAAAACGGTATCGTATACAACAAATTACCCGGTAAGTGCTTACCATGGTAAAAGTCACCCCCCTCACTTACCGGGTAAGACTCTTGGTCTTTCTCTCGCTCTTACTGGGTAAGACTCTTGGTCTTTGTCTCGTTCTTACCGGGTAAGATTCTTGGTCATTGCTATATATATCCGATAAAGTAATGAAACTTGATGTTCACTTACCCGAATAAGCGTTTGATAAACGACCTCTTAGTAAATGAAAAGAAAAACTTAAAACAAGACCGTTAGCATTTAATTTGAAAAAGAAATAAAGCCGTTTACCAAATGCTTACTCGAGTAAGTGCTTATCAAGTCACATTTCTTTACCGGATAAATATAGCAAGAACAAATAATTTTACCTGGTAAGAGCAAAGACAAGGATCGAGAATCTTACCCGATAAGTGATGACGACAACTCTTACCACAGTTAGTGTTTACCGGGTAATTAATTGTTACATACGATGTCGTTTTGGTAGACTAAAATCTTATCCGGTAAATAATCGATAGAGTTGAATTCCATTGTTAAACACTTACCGAGTAAGTGCCTTAAGACTGGAATGGTTTTGTTTGGGTAGTTCCTTCAAGTATAAGGTAAGACGGTGATGTAGTCGTTGGCGTACGTGGAATGCGTCATATTTTTTACATTTTCTGGTCATTTATGATACACTTTTGACTCGGTTTTGTTTACCATCATCATTCATTTGCAGCTTTGAATCCGTTGTTTGGAAACCCATGACTACATTGGCGCAACAGATTTTGTTGAGCAGGGTCACCAACGGTGGATTAAAAGTCTGTAAAACTATTTGACATGTTTTTAGTTGAATTTTTTGGTTTAGAAAAAAAAATTAGTTGATTTCAAGAGTTATTTTTTATTTTTTTTGTTGATTGCGAAATATTTTTCGGTTGAATTAAAAAAAACTATTGGATTTTTGGTTGATTTCAATCAACTTTTTTTCTCATTTTTGGTTGATTTTTATTGTATTTTTTAATATCTTGAAACAACGGTCAACTTTTAGTTGTTAATGAATAATTGATAAAACAAATTCATTTTAACAATAGATAATATTGTTAAAACTCAAACATATATATTTTGAACCTAACAACCGACCCAGTAACCTTTTGGAATGGTGGATCCCCATTGACCATTGTGTGTATATATATATATATATATATACATATATATAGATAGAGAGAGATGAGATGTTTCAAATGTAACTCATTATATTTGTACAATCAATGCAACTCAATTAATTAAGATATATAAAAAAATGATGAGAGTTTATTTATTATGATTTGAATATTTATGGAAGATGACTAAGCTTCATTAATTATGATCAATACTTATATTATGAAACAATCAAAACTTTTATGAAATTATATATTCATCAAATTAAATGGACGGTTGAAATTGAGTTTTATCAGTGTACAAATATAATGAGTTGTATAATAAATCACATATAAAACATTTCATATCTATACTGAATTATAAAACATTTCACAAAAACTCTTAAAAACCATTTTTTATGCATGAGGTAATGTTTATTGATGCATATTACTTAAAACTTAAGATTACAAGTAAATTGTGCATAAATACAACTTATTAAAGCTCCATATTTGAATTTGTATAACTAACTGCAGATAAATATAATCTATACTGGATAAACATCTCATTTTAAATATAAAAAATCTAAAATATAATTAGGATAATTATTGAGTTCTAACATAATACTTAGTTTTTATCTTTATAAAAAATTATATHATTAAATCTAAATTAAATTACTTYGTTACTAAACYTAAATTAAATTATAATAAAAAAATTGAATTAAGAAAATTACAACAAAAACAAGAATTTTTTTAAAAAAAAAAGTTAATTTGATACTGATATCAATATATTTTTTTAAAATTTTACGGTATTTTCAAATTTATATTTTATTCAAATATAAAATATTATCATATTCTCAAATCACATAAAATCATATTATATCGATATAAAAAAAATAAAACAAAACACTGATTTCGATGCATTGTACGAGTATAATTATAATTGAGAACACGAGGTTATGAAAAGATTTATTAAGAAAGAGTTGAGGGTATATGAATTTAGATCACAAATCTCTCTGTATCAATCGATAAGGAATTAAACAAATTTCCGGAGTACAATAAGATTATTATATATATATATCAGCAACATGATTAAATGATGAAACAATCTGTAGACCCAAATTTTGATTTTAGATGAACTGTAATTAAAATTCTTGAAAAAATCTATAAGATTAAAGTAGAATTTGTGGGACCAAATGGGTTGATAACAGATGGATTGTATACTTGAATCTGCAGATCATCATCACCACTTTGCTTGTTCGAATCCTGCAATGGTGGGTCGGATCGAAAGATGAAGTAGTCGTTGGAAATCAGAAGAGGTGCAAGAATCACTGAAGCTTCTAACAGAACTTCCCAGCTCATGTTATTTTGGTTGATACTCTCAAACTGTTTCAATCCCTTTTCTACCTTCTGTTCAGTTTCATCAAACTGAACCCAGTTATTGAATCTCACAAGTTGATTATGATCACCACCGTCTTCCATGGAGGTTGATGACGATTCTACTGTGGAAGCCACCGGAGATCCAGTGGTGGAGGAGGAGTCTGTTAACTGCCACATACCGTCGAGAAAGTTTTCCAAGAGCTTGAATTTGGATTTCTGGGATTCGATCAACTGAAGGGTATTCGTAAATTCCACAAAGCCCGACAGATTTGCACCAATCGTAGAATTCCAACAGATGATCGGCTTGAATCACGGCTTTCTTATAGACGCCGAAAGCCATCATGCAGCTACGGTAGGGAAGCTGAATGAGATGGTCCAGAACTGCAACTATTTCGAAGCGGAAATTCGAGTAGCAAAAGAAACTATCGCGAACGATGTATTTAAGTGCGCAATGTATGAGAAAGCTTCGTGAAGCCGCTCCTCTTGGCCTGCATTCGATCACTCTATCGATCAGGCTCTGGAGTTGCGGCAAGATCTCGAGTTTTTCTCCTATTCGTTTCATCTTATCCGGAAAACTTTGGAATACCATTTCTTCTTCTTCTTCATCTTCTTCTTCATCTTCGCGTTTTTCTTCCGTGTCCTCATTATCATCTTGATCACAATTGATTGAAAAACAATCTAATGCTTCATCGAGAAGATTAGCATACGATGAAATGAAATCCGTGTAATCATGTGAATTGGAGGAGGAGGAGTCACGAAAGTGGCATGGGTTTAGAGACAAGAAACCATTGGAACGGTTCCATAGAAGCTCGGTTCTGAACGGGCTGTTATACGGCAATGCTCGGAGCAAACGGTGGAGGAGGGTTAGGCATTTTAAAGCAACTCTCCAACACTTGGTTTTAGTAAACCGACGCGAAAAACTAGACGCAAAAGTACGGTAAGAAAGAGGCGAAACCGAGAAGATCTTTAGGAGCTGGAGGATATAGCGATCTCGGAGTGGCAAGTCTTCAGGAGATGTGGCCTTTACGAGTATCAAATCTATGTCGCAAAATCCTCCAACCGTTGCGATCTTTGCGTAGCTTACGAACGTGTTCTCTTTAATTGAGGTGTACGCTCTCTGGAACCGCCTGTGCATCGTGTTGTTACGGTAAAAGATGGGGTTTGTGATGAAGCTAGAAAAGATGAAATGGGGTGGAATGTATATAAGTTGTTAAGGCTGCTGGCTATCAGACCGTTATTTACGATGAAGATTCTACGTGTTTGAACGATGTTTACTATGAAACGTTGTCCAAATGATTGAAGGATACAAACCAGACATTCTTGAAGTTGTCGCATTTCCTGTATGTTTCCAGATGGTTTTTATGTGCAGGCCAAAGGGGGTAAGAAGTGGTGCAGGCTGTTTAAATTAAACAAACGGTTGGAGACAGTGATGGTGTAAACGATCGACTTCAAT